CGTCTTCCCAATCGAGAACATCAATCGCGCGTTGACCCTTCTTATTTTGATGGTGAGAATTTACATGGCCTTTGTTGAGGAGAATCTTGACCACATCCAGGTGTCCATTCTCCACGGCATCAATGAGCGGTGTGTCACGGTCTCCCGACTCGCAATCTGTCCGACAGCCTTTCTCGATAAGAAATTCGACAACCTCCGCCCAGCCGTTGAGAGCGGCTTTCTGCAGTGGTGTAATGCCCGCAAAATCGGCTTGGTCCAGTTCAAACGTAGCTTCTTCGTAGGCTGCCTTGACGGCATCCAGATCACCCTTTTCACTTTCTCTGGCCAGTCGCGTCGCACCGAACCTATCGGTCTTCCGGCCATGGGGCAGCGTCCGCGCTGGAGAAGTCAGTGCTCGGCCCGTGCCGCGCTTGATGCGCGTTGTTGGATTTGCGTCCGAGGCTCGTGGTGAAGAAGATCGCTCAGAGCTGGAATCTGAGTAACGTTCGGTTGAAACAGCCAGACCTGGTACCTCTCTGCGTTTTCGTGAGGCTGCACCAGATATCGCAGACTGGGTTGACTGCGAGCGCTTGTGCGGGCGACCAAAAGCTCCCTGAAAGGAAAGTTAATAACAAAGCAGACCAATGAGTGAGTCGCCGACACGTACTGTTGCAGGTGAGTTGGGCTGTGTGCGATCCTTCAGCCCTTCTGTCTTGGCTTTCTGTCGTGGAGGCTCAAGCTTTCCGAACTCTGTAGCAAGCTTGCGCTTTCGACTCTCCACCGTGGAGGCGCTACGACCTCTTGTGGCGGCCTGCGTAGGAGACAGGGTAGGATGTGTTGGCGATCCAGCCGGGCTGGTGTCTTTGGTCTGTCGTGACCCCGTGCTTGGAGACGTAGGCACAGGACTTTTCGCGTCGTCCGAGGCGTCTTTGGCGTGTCCATTCGGCTTCGTGTCTTTGACATCGCTCGAGCGTCTGCGGCCGTTCTGCGGTGAATGGGAAAGCGTGTTTTCTTTGATCGAGTCAAGCCTCGTAGGTTCATCTTCGTCGCGCTCTTTCTTGATCACCTCCTTCTCGTTCATGTCATCATCTCGTGACAGCACAACCGTCTCGGCTTCGGACTCGTTCTCGTCGTGGTCGCCATTCTGCGTGGCTGGCACGTTTTCTTTGGCAGAGGGCGAGGCGGCCTTGGGTGCAGGCTGCGCAGCGTCGCCGGAGTCATTGCGCGGGCTTCGAGGGGCGTCGAGGGATGCGTTCAGGTCGCCATTACTGGTCATCACGCATGTATGGGACAGGACACGGGAGTTCCTGCCTCATGACGGCTCAAGAGCAAGGGACGACAGGCGTGGGCGGCAGGCGGTATGAACGCGGCGCTTTGCGTCCTAACACGGAAGGGCTGTCGCGTGATGGGTCGTGGTGCCCGTTGCGACACCAAAGGGAGGCGTGCGTGGTCGGCGGCGTGTTGTTGTTGTGATGGGCGAGGCGTGTGGAGGTGCTGGGAAGAGAGCAGGCGGAAGAGCGCTGGGACGATAGCAGCAGGCAAATGCGGGCCACTCAGCGCACTGCACCAAAGCTAGCCTACGCACCGATCCCAGCGACCCAGGCTGGCCCATCCCTGCACGCAAGCGTGCACCGTCATTGTTGCTGCGATGAGTTTATGAAAGAGAGCGACACAGGCTGGAGGACGTGGTTAAGAACACGGTGGACTGCACGACGGAGCATGTGTCTCCAGGGTGATTCTCGTCTCCAAAGTTCTTCATGATGAGCCCCAGCGACCTCAACCACATCACGACGCCCATGGGCGAGGCAGCCGAATTTGCCGCTAACCAGAGATCGGCGCGTCAATTAACCCAATCAGTCAGCCTGCATCTCTGTCCGTGACCTTGTTTTTGCACTGCACCGTGGGTGGGAGATGGCATTGTACGTTTCAGAATCAAATTCCTGCCGCTCAGGACGGCCGCTGGAAGCCAGCTAGAAATGCGCAGCGAAGCAGCAGCGGCGGCGGTCAGCGTTCTTTGGGTCAGGCTGCGTGGATGAGCACAACACATTCGCGCTAGCCAGCCCACACGCCTGAAACGCAGCCAAAGCAAGCTAATTCGCCCACTGTAGACGGTCTGTGAGCAGCCCAGCCAGTGCATCACTTTTTCATCACTCGACCTCCCCGCACGCCCTGACCATATACAATCCAGGAATTCTGAACGTCTCCCACCATGGACTCGTCAGCCGCTGGGAGCCAGGTCGATGGCCTACTCAGCCCCGTAGTCCTCCTGCGCGCCTTCTACCTCGCCGCCTCTGTTCTTGTACTGCGACACCTGTCAGCCTGATTGCACTACACTGACCTGCTCTGCTTACTAGATCATCGTCATACAGGCCGTCCCTGCTCTGCGCAGCCGTTTTCTTGCCTACGGCTCTCGTGCGACTTCGCTGTCCGGTCAATCGTCAGCAGCACCGCGTCAGCCTTCCCCTGTCAACGAGCTGCTGGACTACGCTGCAACGATCCAAGTGCCGCACAACTACTTCACCCATTTCTATGTGCTCTCGGTCGCCTGCTCGCTATTCTGGGGATGGCGGTTGCGCATGTGGGAAGCTTCTACGCAGTTGCAGGTGGTGTGGGGGCTGATGCTTCTCCAAGGCATGCGCCGCATGCTCGAGTCGATCGTCTTTACTTCAACAAGTAAAAGCAAGATGTGGTTCGCGCACTGGCTGCTTGGGCTCATCTTCTACTTGACAATCAATGTTGCTATCTGGATAGAAGGCGAGGACTCCGCCAGCGCTCTGACAGATCGAGAGACCAAGATCCTGGTCCCCGCGATCCTCACAGCGCACGCACTCCAGCACTCCTACCACGCGTATTTGTATGAGCTGCGCACCGAGAACAAGGGCTATCAACTTCCCGCCCATCCTATCTTCTCGAATCTACTTTGTCCGCATTACACCTGCGAGACCGCCATATACCTTCTCTTGTCTTTTCTGGCAGCTCCTGCTGGTAGCACCGTGAATTGGACACTGTTCTGCGGCACCATCTTTGTAGCCGTCAACCTCGGAGTGACAGCGATTGGCACGAAGGAGTGGTATATAGAGAAATTTGGCAGAGACAAGGTAGGTCCAAGAAAGAGAATGGTACCCGGGATCTGGTAGGTGCTGCACCATGGCAAACGTAGGAAATCGATTCGAATTTAGCATATCGAAAGCAATTCGATTCATCTTCTAGCACCTTCCTATTCAGGCTATTTTCACTTCTATCACCCTAGCCGAGTTCCAACGGCCTTTATCCTCCGCGCAAGTGCTGCACAAGTTGGAGCTTGAGCTGCAAGCCACATCCAACTCCCACTAGGACATGATACGCGAACCGGCTAATTGCCCAGTTCTCCCGTCAGTGGTGGGGTATTGGCGGGGCATCTTGCAGCGAGTGCTGCAGGGCGGGACTACAAATGCGTGAGCTTCATCCACTCTGGCGTGCTCACTCAAGCTTCTAGGGGTCACAAAAAGCAGCAAAGACGACGTTGTCAAGTTTACAGACACAACGAACCTGGAAAACCGAGTTTTCCCGTCTACCTCCACAGCCTCCAAGATGTCGGCCGAAGTCCCCAAAGACCTACCAGAAATGGAGTACCGTTTCGTAGGCAGGAGTGGTCTCCAGATCTCAGCCATCTCTCTCGGCGGTTGGCTCACCTGTTCGTTCCCACCCACCTTCTTCAATGCCAGACTAACGCAACTAAGACGGCGGCCACGTCGGCGACGAGAACACCTTCGCATGCCTCAAAGCAGCCTTCGACTGCGGCATCAACTTCTTCGACTGCGCCGAAGGCTACGCCGGCGGCGAATCCGAGCTTGTCATGGGCCGCGCCATCAAGCACTTCGGCTGGAACAGAAATGACATCGTCGTATCTACAAAAGTAACTCACCCACCACCACCACTCCGAAAGTACGCACTAACGCGCCCAGATCTACTGGGGCGCACACACATCCGCGCTCACCGGGCCCCGCAGCAAGATCAACAACCTCGGCCTCTCGCGCAAGCACCTCATCGAAGGCACTGAGGCTGCCCTCAAAAGATTGCAGCTCAGCTACGTTGATATCGTGTACGCTCATCGGCCGGATCGGCACACGCCCATCGAGGAAACAGTCCGCGCCTTCAACTTCCTGATCAACACGGGCAAAGCGCTGTACTGGGGCACCAGCGAGTGGCTTTCGAGCGAGATCGAGGAGGCGTGGGCTGTGGCTGATCGGCTCGGGCTCATTGGGCCGCTGGTCGAGCAGCCGGGGTATAGTCTGTTGAGGCGAGAAAAAGTGGACGATGAATTTTTGAATGCAAAGTTGTACGAGAGGAGGGGGTTGGGGCTTACTGTCTTCAGCCCTTTGGCTGGAGGGTTGCTTACGGGGAAGTATGTCGATGGTGTCCCGAAGGATAGTCGATTGAAGACGAGTGACGATCCATACATCCAGTCGGTGGCCAAGACGATCGATACGCCGGCGTGGAAGGAGCAGCAGGACAAGATTCGCGAGTTGATCAAGGTGGCGGAGAAGTTGGGTACCGATGTTGCGACGCTGAGCATGGCGTGGGTTTTGAGCAATAAGAACGTCTCGAGTGCAATTACGGGCGCGTCGAGACCGGAGCAGATCTACCAGACTGTCAAGGCAGTGGATGTGTACAGGAAGTTGACGCCGGAGGTGCTAGAGGAGATCGAAGGCATCTTCAGGAACAAGCCTGCCGAGGTGACGAAACGATTTGGTTGAGAAGAAGAGAGTAGGATGAGGGCATCCAGTGATAGCAACGAAACATTTGATTGCTTAAAGCTACATTATGGTGGAGATGCAGCGCATTTAGTTTTCCTGTGTACCCCACCTTGCTGCCGTCTGGCATATGAGTCACCGTGCGCCCTCCCACGGCTTTACCGTCAACAATACCATCCACAAATGTCAACTCCGTAGCCAGGTATCGTGACAGTGAAGTCCACAGCTCTCAATTTGCAAAATAGTACATATACCAAAGTTGAGCTTCATATTTCTATAAATAGAATCGTCACTGTGGCCGAGCGGTTAAGGCGCTAGACTCAAGATGTTAAACTCTTGCCTTCTTTGAAGGTAGCATTCTAGTAGAGAGATCTGCGTGGGTTCGAGTCCCACCGGTGACACTATAGGCTCAGTGGTCTAGGTAAGCTCTCGAGCTGCTTTTCCACTAATCTTTCACTAATCTTACCTAGTCGTATGATTGCTGCTTCGGGTTTTCGCCCAGATACCGAGTATCGTGAATGTAGCAGGTCCCGGGTTCAAATCCCGGCTGAGCCCTTGTTTTTTGTTCCTGTTGTACAGTCGTGTCCTTGACTTTTTCTTTAGAGGTGTGGTAGTGCTGGTGGTGAATAGGTGATTTCGTCACGAACCGGCTATCAATCCACCTTTTAGCTTATAAGACTTTAGAAAACCACATTAGAACTATGCATGCTGTAAGTAGTCAGCCTGTGTCCAATCAAGCTTTAATTTTTGACATCTGGACATAGCGACATGATGGTTTTTCTACATCCGGCTAGCGCGCCACGTGAGTCCGCGTCCGCGAAAGTCCAAGCTCCCGCGACTGCCTGACAGGCTGCATCGCGCTTGCTGCACCATCACCACTTTCTTTATCCTCACCTTCGCCGTCGCTCTTTTCCAAGACCAGCTTTTGCTTCTCCAATCCTCCTCAGAAACAATCGTAAAATCGCAGACTAATTGACAAATCATAACGTAGCCACCACAACGCGCAACGCGCACTACAAAGAGCAAGGAACTGCAATTGACTACAACCATGGCGGGCAAAGAATCGACAGTCTTCATCCTCGACCTTGGCCGGTCAATGGGCGAGAAGCGCCATGGCCGCGATCACACCAACCTTGATTGGTCGCTCGACTACGTGTGGGACAAGATCACAACAACAGTATGCAGACGCTCTTTTGGTGATCTCGTGCGTGACGCAATGCGATCGTGTCGGGATGGGATGGACTGTCGAAGTTGCGCGAAACAAGGCTGACAGAGGTGCAGGTTGCGACAGGCAGGAAAACGGCGCTAATGAGCGTCGTGGGGTGTCGCACGGATGAGACAGATCTGAACGGTGTTATGGAAGAGGCGGAAGGGTATGAGAATATCACCGTGTTCTCGGAATGCAAACAGTAAGAGTTTGGAAATTCGGGACGAGCAGGGTGCTAACGAGCGCAAGATATTTGTTGAGCGATATCCGGCGGTTGCAAGAAAAGCTGAAACCCAGCAAGACGAATGAAGGAGACAGTGAGTTGACTCATCTTGGCATCGGACATCTCCGCTCACATACGCAGTGATTTCTGCATTGGCTGTCGCTGTGCAACTGATGGACAGCGCCACATCAAACAAAGCCGGCAAGCCACTGAAGTACGACCGACAGATCATCATCGTCACTGACGGGAGAGGCGATATGGACACCGATGATCTGGAAGCCATTGCGCTGAAAATCAAGGACGAAGAGGCGCCAGTTGAGATCACGTTGCTCGGCGTTGACTTCGATGATCCTGACTACGGCTACAAGGAGGAGGACAAAGACGCAATCAAAGTACGAACATCACCCAAGGTATAGTGTCGCAGCTAACTTGGAGCAGTCAAAGAACGAGGAAGTCTTGAAGAGCTTCGTGAAGAGCTGCAACGGCAACTTCGGCACCCTTGCAGAAGCCATCGAGCAGCTCAGTATCCCACGCCTGAAGCAAACACGCCCCATTCCCAGTTTCAGAGGCCAGCTTACACTTGGAGATACATCAAAATTCGACGCAACACTAACCATTGATATCGAGCGATACCCATGCACTATGCTCGCCAAACCACCAACAGCAAGCTCATTTGTCGTCCGAACAGATCTCGGTGCAGCAGGACCTAGCAATGGAGAATCTATGGAAGACATTGTGGGAGAAGACCATCCCATGAGCGATCTGGCAGCTGTAAGGAATCAACGCGTATACCAGGTCGACGACCCTGAAGAAGCAGGTGCCAAGAAGAACGTCGAAATGGAAGAGCTCGAGAAGGGCTATGAGTATGGTAGGACGGCAGTACACATCGCCGAATCCGACATGAATGTGGTCAAGCTCGAAACGTCGCCCTCGTTGGAGCTCATTGGCTTTGCACGGGAAGAAGAATTCGAGCGCTATCTACCTATGAGCCGGACAAACTACATCGTACCTCAGAAAGCGAACCAGCAAGCGCAGTTAGCGCTTTCATCCTTCATACATGCACTGTTCGAGGGCGGCTTGTACGCAGTCGCACGTTTGGTCACAAAGGAGAACAAGCCGCCGGTTGTCATCCTGCTTGCGCCACGGATTGAGCCGGAGTTCGAATGTCTCATTGATGTGGAACTACCTTTCGAGGAGGACATGCGTCGATACAAGTTCCCACCGCTGGACCGCAAACTCACAGTGAGCGGCAAAGTCATCACTGAACATAAGGACTTGCCAAATGCCGACCTTACCGCGGCAATGGACGCTTATGTCGACGCTATGGATCTGTCCACAGTCGCTGAAGACGAAGACGGCAATCCGGATGAGTACGCAAAGCCAGAAGACACCTATGCGCCGCTCGTACACCGCATCAATCACATCATCAGATGGCGTGCAACACACCCTGACCCCACTCTCACCATACCCGACCCGCCTGAGATTCTCAAGAAGTATTCTGCGCCGCCATCAGAGCTCCTTGAACGCGCGAACAGCACATTTGAGTCTCTCAAAGCGGCAGCAGACGTCAAGAAGGTGCCACCCAAGGTCAAAGGCCACGGTAAGCGCAACCGTGCCGGGCGCGAGAAGCCTATCTCCGGTCTTGACGTTGATGCGCTATTGGGCAACCCTACACAAGTCAAGATCGATCCAGCAAACCTTGTACCGAGCTTCAAGCAGGCGCTTGACGTCACAGACGATCTAGCTGCCATACAGTCCGCTGCAGACGCCATGGCGAAAGAAATCCGCAACTTGGTCAAGAACAGCGTCGGTGAAAGCGCTTATGGGCGAGCACTCGAAGCACTCCGCGTCATGCGTGATGAGCTTACCGAGCTCGAGGAGCCCGAGATGTACAACAACTTCGTGAGAGAGTTCAAAAAGGAATTACTTGGGGATAAGCTAGACGGGGACCGCAGGGAAATGTGGTGGAGACTAAGGGGAGGCAGATATGGTCTCGTTGACCAGAAGAGATCACTAGTCAGTGATGTCACGGAGAAGGAGGCGGACGATTTCTACAAGGCTTAGGCGGCCATTGTAGCACATCGTCCTGCCAGGCCGTGGTACATGGTCGTGTTCAGGACATCTTGACCGTGCGCTGGACTGCGACGTTCGCCGGCTAATGAGATAGCTGCGGCTTCAACTGCGCCTGCTCATATACAATCTGGTAAGGAATAGAATTCGGGCTGTTGCACACCCACTCAAGAAAACAAGATTTACAGCGACCACATAGAAGGGATAATTACGAGGCAAGAGCTTCGAGGCAAACTGTGTGCTGGAGGATTACGCAATAGCGATCCGGTCCTGCGTATCCAGAACGTCCTTGGGGATATCCAGGGGTCAACGGTGGGGGAATCCAGATGGCTCGTGGTGCTGCTCAAAAGATGCGGATTCCTGGAGCAGCCGCAACACTGGAGCAAGTCCGCTTTCACTTCAACACCGAGAGTGCAGAACACCTGAACATACAGCAGTCACATATCCTCACTGTGTCACTATGCTCTCGATGGTTTTTCACTCAACTGCGAGTAGTGCTAACGGCTCACTGTCCACAGACAATGGCTACTGCGGTGGATGCAGGATCGACCTCGCTGTAATACATGCGCCCAAAGATGTACATTCATCTTAACTGCACAACTACACGCGATGACTGGGAGTATGGCCCCTGTCATGGGTCTGTGCCCTGATTGGATCTACTCCGATTCTTCCAAGGTCCAGTGGACCTGCCCCCCTTTGGGTTGACGAGAGTGAGTTTCACCTGGGGAACGAAAGGGCAAGATCGCACACACAATTTAAGGTGGCACTTGTACGTGAATGTATGGAAGGTGTTTCCTCCACAACCTTCCAGAGGATCGGCCTAGTTGTTAGCTTCAAGTTTCCACCACAGCCGAACAACGCAAGAGGTGACGACTGGCAGGAGGTCGAGATTGTTTAAGTGATACCGGACATGACAGTACTCTTGAATGAATCTTTTTATAGTATGACCATATATTCACTATCGTCGCACGGATCAAATCACAGTCTTCATGGTTCCTTCCTGGCGATAACGCAGCGGGTCAATCATTGTCCCAACTCGCGCTTTGACGGTATGAGTTTTCTTCAGTATGTGCGTGCCGGTCCAACCTGCCTGGATCCTCGTCTAGCAACCACGTGGAGGCTGCTTCCCACACGCCTTGACATACCACTTCTTCTCCTCGTCAGTCATAACGCGGTCCTTGCCAGCTGCGCGCGTCTTCGTCAGACAAGCCTGACGCATCGCGCTGTTATGTGCAGCGCGCTTCTTCTCTTCACTCTGGCGCTGAGCATCACGCTTCTTGCGCTCAGCAGCCTGCTCTTGGAGACGGGCCTGCTCTTGCACCCAACGAAGTCTGGCCTGCTCACGCTGGACGCGCTCCTGCTCACAACGGTCTTGCTGCTGCTTGTGCCAGGCGGCTGCTTCACGCTTGCGCTGGGCTTGCTCTTGCTGCTGGATGTACCAAGCCATGGTCGCCACGATGGAGCCGTTCAGCTCTGGATGTGCAAGGCAGTGCTGCGCGAACATCTCCGGGTCTGGAATGGACTCCTCACGCACCATGACGGTTAGGCAGTTGACCATGCGGTTGTAGAGACGCGGATGTGAGGCGCGAAAGCGGCACACGGCATCGATCTCCTCGTAAGAGAGCAGGGTGTTGGAGATGTACGCCTCCATCTTGCGGAAGATATGGCAGGTGTACTTGGTCATACTGAGACGGTAGGCGGCTTGGCAAACTGCCAGTGACTGATACACTGGCATGTCGCTGCGGAGGCGAGCGAGCTTGTCATTCTTAGAGCGGCAGACGTTTATCAGGTGCTGGACTAGGGTCAAGACGCCGTTGTAGTCGGTGTCCGCTGGAAGGTTGATCGCATTGGCGTAGAGAAGTTCAGGTAGGCGCGTGGCAGTGGCGGAGAGCATGGCTAGAGGGATGGTGCCGATCTGGTACCCGCTGACCATGATGCAGACGAGAGGGCCATGAAGAAGAGCCCGACGCGCAGAAACAGACTGCTGACGGATGTCGATGTGCGCAGCGTCTGGGCTGGTGGACGTGCCGTGGGCGGTCTTGCCAGGCTGGAACT